TATGTATATATATATATATATATACATATATATATATATAAAACTCACTACTAATGCAGGGATATGTACACTTGGAATTAACTTAAAAATAACATCAAATGCACTGCATCCACAGTATATTCTATACTAATAGTAGCAATTGCTCTTTCTCTCTCTCTCTTTTTTTCTCTTTCTCTTTATCTATCTATCTATCTATCTCTTTCTTTCTCTTTTCCAGCTTTTAATGATCCAATACAAAACTAGTTTTAATAGATAATAGTTAAATGACAAATTAAAGAACGTAAGCAAGCGTTTAGAAAACGTGTGCATTAAAAGTTAATTGTATTTAAAATAGAAATATGAGGAAAAGAAAAAACAACAAGGATAAAAAATGAAAGAAAAAAGAAAAACTATTTAATAGTCCACTGTGAGTGCATTGTATTATTAAATCCTGCTAGACCCTAATGCATATCAACTAATATTCCAGCACTAAAATCGCTAACGTTATCCTCCTAATCCGAACACATTGCCACTGTCAAATTGCTTGCAAATCATATCTGAGCCATGGTAGACCCATTCTAAATTTCAACCAAAGTACAGCCGGGAAAAGTATTTAGAATAATATAGAAAGACAAATGAGATGAAAACAAATGATATGAAATGAAATGAAACGAAACGAAACGAAACGAAATGATATGAAATAAAATGAAACGAAATGAAATAAAATGAAATGAAATGAAATGAAATGAAATGAAATGAAATGAAATGAAATGAAATAAAATGAAATGAAATGAAAGGAAATCAAATTAAATTAAATTAAATGAAAAGAGAGAGACAAGTTGAAGAAGTGAGTACTGAAAAGTGTGTTTAGTAGATATGTTATGAAGTTTATGTCCGTCCTTCCGTCGAACATTATTTAGCGTTGTAGGGTTCCCTAAATATTATTACCCCACATCACATTATTATCAACTTCACACACACAGCATTACTCCAGATGTAGGCATTATTAACCCATTCTACATAGGAGCTCATATATACATATGTGTGTATATGCATATACACAATACATATGCATATACACATATACATATTATACATAGTTATCACTTAAAAGTCCATACTTTATATGTCGAAAAAAAGAAAAGAAAAAGAACTTCGGTTGATGTTTCTATTTGCTAAAAAAAAAAAAAATAATAATAATAATAATATTAATAATAATTAATAGAGCAGCTACGTGTTGCGTCTCGTGGCTCGGATATGATATACTTTTCTATGTCAAGTTGCAGGGTTATCCAAATACCATAAGGGAGCACTTGGGCGCCCTGTGAACACCATTATAATTATATCATCATTATTATATATTTATTGCGATCAACTTTTTCTCTTGGCAGTCTCACTAATGCGACAACGCAAAATGCACTGAGAGTTATGTGTTTATAATATATATTCGATGCTGCTGCTGTGTTCCTCGTGTCATGGTTACGTTGTAGCTAGTCGCTTTTCAAATTTGTTCGATTAATAATCGTATTGTTATTCGTACATATATATATATATAATATTTATCTCGTGGCCTGTTCATGTGCAGCATCGTTTTTATTTGTTATTTATTATTTATTTATTTATTATTATTATTTTTTTCCCAATTTTTTTCCAGTCCCTCACGTTACATTTCGACGTGTAGAAAAAATCGACTTTTCCGTCAGAAGAATGTTACTTTGCAATTTTATTTGAACATTTTATTTTAATTTTATTTCGATAAAACAATCTTCTTTTCTTTTTATATATTTCTCTCATTAGGGTTCGTTTTTATATTACTTACTTTTTTCGTGACAAGATTATTTTTCTTCTTTTTTTTTTTTTTTTTCTCTTTGCTTTTTATCATTGTACATGTTGTACTACTACTACTATTACATTATATTATTCTACATTTCACTGTGTGTAAGGGATTAAAAATCCCTTGCATGTCTCATTTAATTTTAAGAAAGTCTTCTTAGAAGCTGCTAGTCGTTATTTGTACATACATTGTTGTTAAATAAATACAAAAAGCAAGGTTTCTTTTTTCCACGTATAGTCATTTTAATGTTTTTTAATGTTAAATTATATATATATATCCAAGAGAGAAAGAGAAAGAAAATATTAAAAATAAGGACAAGTTTCGTTATTGTTGTAATTGAATCAAAGTAGGAAAACGGCAATTTAATGTATGCTCAAAGTTTTTATAGGAAATTTTATATATTATATATAGAATAGATTAGATTGTTAGGTTCTTGTTAGGTCTAGTCAAAAATCTTCTTTAGGGTTTAATCTTTAATTACTATCTTTGATATCGTATTATTCTCATTTCTTCCAATATCAGATTAGATAATGTAAATAGTGTTTTTTTTTTCACGATAACATCACTTTTCATCTATTCTCTGTATAAAAAGTGACTCAAATGAACTACTTTAAATTATTCGAAAAAATTTCTAACATACACTTTGATTATATAGCCACTTGAGGTATATGAAATATACCTAAATCTATATATATCATTATGTTAACTAGACGTTCAATAAAAATTATGTAGATTGTTGATATACGCTTAAATGTGTATTTATTAAAAAAAAAAAAAAATAAAAAAACAAAAAAGGGACTTCTTCGATAACATTTTTAATACAGTTTCTTACAGGAAAAGTCGTACAGTGCCTTGGTGCCTGAGTTTGAGAGATTGTATGTGTTACGAAGATAAAAGAAAAAAGAAAGGAAAAACAATAGAAATCTTTACCACATGGATTAAACGTTCGTTCCAATGGCTGTGTGTGTCATATCACGTTTTGTGGATCTTCGCTGGGATCCTATGAGAGCCAATTGATTCAATGTGCCAATTTGATAGCAGGAGGAAAAGTTTTTCGCAAGTTGTGTACGGCAATATTGGAATAAATAAAAAAATTAAAAAAAAATAATAAATCAAAGGGATGATCAAAACCATTTGGATATTTGATCGTATTAAAAAGCTGTTGTATATTATTATAACACGTTGTATTGTACACTGATTTGTACGTTGTTGGGTGTGGCAGGCCATAGATAGAGAAGGAAATACAAATTTAAAATATATATGTGTGTATACATATATATTCATGTATGTGTATATAAAAATGCATTAACAACAAGATTAGTAATTATATATACATATGTATATATATATACACACATATATCATACACACACTGTGTAAAACTGGTAGTGTAACCAGTAACACGACTGACTCATGGCTCTTGCTTCTGCTTCAGTAAATGCCGATTTGCTTTTAACGCTTTTAAAAAAAAACCACGCCGCTATATGACGTTGTGCTGCCGCTTATAATATACCTTGATTGAATTTTGTTCTAGCTGCCAGTGCAGTAGGTTGTGTCGCTTAAAGTTTCTTCGCCAACCAATACAGTTCGCTTTATCGCTTTACTACATTGGATAACTCTGCTAACTCTACTGCTGTATGTAAAAAGATTTGGTTAGTAAGACCTGGTGTTTATTAGGTGAGCTCTTTTCCTGTCGCATTCTCTTCCCTTCTGTCTATCAAGTCTCTCTACCATAAAAATGACCTCTTTACCTATTTCACTATCACTGTCTTTCTCATAAATGATGCCGCGTGTGCATACACGCGTATAAATATCGTGTATGCGTGTACACACTCACTATTGGTATAATTGCATAAAACACAGACTATATTTATTTTTTAACAGATAGATATATCGGTTGTACTATTTATAATATTTTCAGCTGACTCTTCTTTTTTTACCTTTATCTCTAGAGCCTGGATTCTATCATATCATATCATATAATATAATATAATGAGATATATGTTGTCGTGTATTATTGTTGAATTCAAATAATTGTTGTATTTCTTCTTATTGTTGTATATATATTATATGTGATATAAATTTATATATATATTATTTATATATATATTATATATATATATATAAATATATATAAAATATATATAAATAATAGGGAATGGGGGGTGTCGTTAAAAAGATGTATTTTATATTAATAATTTTAAGAAAGGGAAAAATGAGTGAAAGCAATTGTGATTGAAACAATCAGTACCAGAAGGGGTAACAATTGGATGTGTGTTGTTTGGTCAGGCTGGGCGTGGGCGTGGAGTGGTGCCGCGTGGCCGAATCGGTGGCCCGCAAACCACCCGTGGGCCAGTCAGGGGGGGGCGCAACCCCGCAACTACAGGGGCCCGTGGGGTCCAGCGACTGGCCGCTCGTGGGGGGGTCCGCGCCAAGGGAAGTTTACCAGGTGAGGATGGTCTGTATCTCCACAATGTATCATCTTTTATCTACTTTATTTCTTATTTTAACTAATCCTTATACTTATATCATTTCTATCGTTTTATCTTTATTGTTTCTTTTTGATCTATCTTCTTTTATCTCTCTTTATTTCTTTTTATTTATTTATTTATTTTAATCAACGTCGCTGCAATCATTTATTTCTTCCTTGCTTTTCTTTCCTTTAACTTTTATCACAAATCTATCAGTTTTTTTTATGGATTATTATATTATTATTAATTAATTAATTTTTAACGATTTAATCGATACGGTGTATCGGTTTTTAAAGAAAATGTTAATTTTTGTTCTTTCTTTTTTTTTTTTTTTTCAAATGTGTTATACAAAAGGGGAACAGTAATATGTCTACATCAAAGACTACCTAATATTTATAATACTAATTTTATTTATTACATCTCACATATTTTCTCACAGCTTTGACAGCATTAGCACTTATTGCTAGTTTGCTATTGTATTGATTATGTCTTTCTCATCTTTTCTTCGCATATAAGGATTTAAATAAAACATTAGGTAATATATGTTAAGTGTAACACATAATGCTCGTACATTATACTTACAGCAGTACTCAATTCTGTAGCACATTTATTAATTAATTATTTATATATTCGATGGAGGGGAAAAATGAATCGAACAAAAAAATGAAATTAATGTTTGATTATTGTTTACGTATTGTACAATTTATATTAAATGGATTGCTCCTATCAAGTAAATTGACACATTGAATCCTCTATCATTTGATTATGTTTTCAAAATTGCTCCTGCAAGAATCGAGCAAGCTTTGCAATTTGGTAAAAGATTGTTAAACCAAAATAAAAAATGAATAATTCGAATTAATATTTCATTCGCGGTTTTTTCTTCTTCATTTGCAGATTTGTTAATGAACAGATTTTCGATGAGCTCGAGGTGCTTTTGATGATAATCCTATAATATTTTGATTTCAATATGATTGCACGTTATTTCTATTCAATATCACCGGAATTCCATGATTTATATTACAGTAAAAGATTTATCCTGGTTTCCTTTTATCCTGTGTCCTATCCATCCGACGTTGATGATAAATTAGGTCAGTTGTTAATGAATTAATATTATTACTTAATATTTATACACATATAACATTATTTCTTTCTAATAACTACTAGAAAATATATTGTCCTTTTCCCTTTGAATGCCTAATATTTTATCTTTTTGTTTCTTTGTTTAAATTCTTATTACGAACCTTTAAAAATCTCCAAACCATTGATAGAAAGAGAGAGAAAGAAAGAAGAGTATAATTGATATATAACAAAGAATAATATGTTTTACAGCAGGTAAACGAAAATTTGACGGGGGTCACCAGAACCAGGGGGAATCTAAACGTCGCTTCCAGAGCAATTGGGGAAACCAACCCCTCGCCCAACAACCGCTGGGCAATGCGTACGGACTGGCGAGTGTGAATGGTGGCAGTGGTGGTGGTGGCGGTGACATAGGATTTGGAGGAAGATCTGCAGCACTCGGTGGCGTTTCTGGCGACGATCACGAATGGTATCAAGACTCTTATCAATCGTGGAGCTAACTTCTGCGTGTATGTGAGTGAGAATACGCACGAACATACGTATATAATTGCATATAAAAACAAAACAAACAAAACAAATTAAAACAAAAAATTAACATAACGCGTCACAAGCGATATAGAAAGAAAAGTGCGAGTGGGGTAGAAAGAGAGAATTAGCGAGAGCGAGAGAGAGAGTGGAAGAGAGCGAGAGCGAGAGAGAGGGAGAGAGAGAGAGCGCGAGAAAGAGAAATAGCATGCAGGGTTATAATAATAATAATAATAATAATAATAATAATAATAAAAGTAATAATAATACTAATTAAAACAAAAATTAATTAAAGGAAAAAAAGCGTTTAGAAAACATGAAAAAATGAAAAAGTTAACGCAGAAGAGAGGTTTACGAGAGAGACAGAGAAAAAGATATGACGAAATCAATAACCGTAATAATAATTAAAATTCTTTGATTAAATCGGAATTTATTGTAAAATGTTTTCGCAAGAAAATGAAACTGAAAAAAGAAAAAAAGAAAAAAGAGACAAAGAGTAAAAAAGTAAGAGAGAAAAAAAACATAAAAATAAGAACAAAGCAAAAGAAAAAAAAACGGAAGAGTTCGTGCTCTGCGCCACCACCATCGCCCCGCTGTTGTTGTGATTATGTACAGTGATGTGCCACTGGGACTAATTATTACATCGGATTAACCACCCACCCACCCCGTACTATTATTATTATATTTACGATAATACTAATACTAATACTAAGTACCACTACTGCATTGTCACATTGTTTACTGCCAAGTGTTGAAGAACCAGCGATGTTGACATTCGGATTTGTGATGGATCGTATTTTAATTAAGAGAACTCATGGAAGCCTGCGGTTTTTATTATGCGATGAGACTAGATTTTTTTTGAATCTATGCAATGATGAATGATGAGAGCGAGAGAGAGAGAGAGAGCGAGAGAGAGAGAGAGAGAGAGAGAGAGAGAGAGAGAGAGAGAGATACACGTGTGAGCGCGCGTTTTTAGATAGGAAGGGGAGAGAATAAGAGAGAGAGAGAGAAGAAAAAAAAGTAATAATGTTAGAGGAAATTTTTAAGAATTAACGAGGGAGGAAATTTTTGAATAAGAAGGGGGATAAGATTAGAAATTTACACAAATTTTAGTGAGAAAAATTAGACATGTATTAAAGATGACCCAAATTCTCGTTTTAGACAAGGAAAAAAATTAAAGCGCCAAAGGAATGATGATGGTAATGATGATAATGATGATGATGAAGATAATTAAGAGAATGGAAGAGAGGAGGAATGTTAAGGGGCGCGTTTAGATAGGAAAGACGACGTTTAGCCATTAACGAATGAGTGTGTGGGAGAGAGTGTTATAACGTGTGTTTGTATGAAATCTCGAACGAATTCGCTTTTTAGAACGTGGATTAGAAAAGATGATCATGATGATAATACTGAAAAGAGCGAGAGAAACATAAAGACCGAGGAGCGGTTAGAAAGGAGAATGAAGGGTGTCCTTTTTTTTAAGAAAAACAAAAAAGAAGAAAAGGAATGTATCTCTTTTTGTGTGCGTATGTGTGAATGACGTTGGAGCGTGCCAAGCGCGCGGCTAGACCTTCTATTGTTGGTCTATAAAAATGTGTACAGTCAGTGAAAAACTATTATTATTAAGGGTCGGGCAAGCTTTGCGAAAGTTAGTAAAAAAAGGAAAAAAAAAGAAAAGAAAAGAAAAGAAAAGAAAAGAAAAGAAAAAGTAAAAAAAAAAGTTTGAAATGTTTGTTGGCCAATGGCTCTGCGGGTATCTCCCAGAAGGTTTGTTCGGTTATGATGATATAGTTATTGACGAGAAAGGGAAAGAAAAATCATGGGATAATATCTTTATTTGGTCAAAAGGAATGAAGTAAAAGAAAAGTATTTGATGCTCATGAATGAGGAAAAAAAAGACGGAATGATAGAAAGATAGTTAGAAAGAAAGGAAGGAAAAAAAACCCACTTGTACAGTAAATTTTTTCAATGGCAGTATCGGAAGTATATAGCGAGGGTAAAAAACTCGGATCTAAATTATATTTGTATTTATTTGTTGATGTGTTTTTTTATAATGAAATTAGGAAGTTTTAAAAAAAATCCGTTGACGGCTAAGAAAAAAAGAAAAAAAAAAAAGAAAAAAAGGAAAAAAAAAATGTAGGGAGAAAAAGAAAGAAAGAAAAAAAGTGATAGAAAGTGGATAAGGAATTCTTGATGGAAACCTTTTCTAATTTTTTAGATAAAAATGAAAAAAAATTGTGATGATGATTAAGAGTAAGATGGTGAAAAAAAAAAAGATGTTAGTTCGCCCAAGATTTTTTTTATGTTCCAATTGCACAGAACAAAAAAAAAAGTAAATTAAGGAAAACGTTTTTTGAAGATTGATATTGACTGGGATTAGAAATTTGGCGAATAATTATATAGTTACGGAATCGCGGAAGTAGGATTACAACAAAATGTACGCAGAAAGTTTTTAAATGCATGAACACATACAGCACACGTTTTGAGTGTTGACTTGTTGTTATTGTTAGCCTGTTAGTTAATTAGTAAGAGTTGTAAGTGCGGGCTGTAGTTGGTCCCTGTCCCTGGAGCCCAGACACCCCCTGTTCTGGAGATTATTTGAAAAGGACTAAAATGAGAGCATACGCAAAACAATTTATATTTTACACGCACCCCCCGAACACGAAGATAAACAAAATAAATAAATAAAGAACGAAAGAGATAAGGAAATGATAAATAAATAAATAAATAATTAAATAAATAAATAAACGAATAAAAAAAAAATGAAAGAAAGAGAAAGAGAAAGAAAATTGTAATGGACGACTGCATATCAAACCTCTGCTGTTTAATTGCACACTCTAATGAAACGAGGCTTATCGTATTATAACGTTAGCCTAATTTGATATGAAATAATAGCAGTAGGATGGACGAATATTAATAATAATAATAATATTAATCAATCAATCAATCAATCAATCAATCATGCGATCGAAAGAAATCGGTTATAATAATGACGTATCCCCCGCCATTGACTATCCGAATAAGAATGATTTATCTGAATATCGTGTTATATAAGAGAAGCACATGAGATGATAAATAATAATGGTCTTACACATAACGAAAGTACCGAAACTAATAGACGCAACCATGTGGACAAAATGTCTGGATGACGATCGATTGCTCGCAAACCCTCGTATTTATGAGCATTTTGTTAATTTTTATTCATGTTTTACTTAAGTCTAGTTTTTTTTTGTCGTCGTCGATACTGTTTTGTTATTGGCGATTTAAGCAACAATCTAGTAGTAATCATTAACTTTTTTCTCCTCTCCATTCTTACTTCCTGTCCCCCACACCCCCCAATTCACGATTATTGTTTAAAAAAAAAAAAAAAAAAAAAAAGTATTAAAAAAAATTCCCCACCCCCTAAAAAGAAAAGTAAGAAAAAAATCCCAAGATGCAAAAAAAAAAAATATTATTACATTTAAAAATAACCATTGCCATCTTTCATTCCTCCTGTTTCCCCCTTTTTACTCATTATCCAATTACCGTATTTTATATCTACCTACCTATTCTACTTACCTACACACATCCTATTTATAAAAGCATAATATCGAGGATATAATACTATTAATATTAACAATATAATAAGGATGATATTGCTAATCAATACTGAGTGGGTTTTTGTGACATGATAATATTTCAATAATTAAACAAAAAATGAATAAAAAAAAAATGATAAAAAAATGACAAAAAAAATAATAATGATGATGATGATGATGATGATGATAATGACGATGATGATAATAATAATAATAATTAATATTCTCTGGTTTCTCCGAAAAAAATTTGTAAGTAATAAAAAAGGATGATGGTAATGATGAAAGCAAGGAAAAATGAAAATAAAAAGAAAAAGAAAAAGAAAAAGAAAAAAGAGAAAAATGAATAAAAAGTAATTAACTTGGAATACATTGATTATATAGAATGGCAAAGATAGAAAGGGAAAAAGAAAGAGAAAGAGAGTTTCGGCTTGCGGGGGCAAGGAAGCTTAACTGGCAAAAGCGGAGGCAGTTCACGGTGACGAGACTTTAGACTGATCTAGGTACTAGCGTTACGATATTGGCCCCGCCCCGGCTTATAAAGGCGCCCCAAAAGTATCACTCACCTCCTCTTTTATACTCTTACCGGTGTGGCAGCTGGGGTGCCTGGGGGGTTGTCGGTCGCATTTAGGATAATGCACCACTGTGGCTGGCGATGCTATGGCCACACACGCGCCCTTTTACCCGGCCAATGCCCTAATTCGCGGTTTACACATCCTTGGGAAACTTGACTCTTTTTTTTTGGTTGGCCCGTATCAAGGCGGATGTTGTGTGATTTTTGGGTCGATCAATTTATGTTAATTACGACCCAAAGACGTGTTTTTTAATTATATATAAATATATTATATATTATATTCCTACGAATATGCATTTTGTGACGTGATGATGATGTTATTTAGCAGTAATAAAAAAAGGAATAATAAATAAATAAATAAAATAAAAATAAATGAATAAATAAATAAATAAATGAATAAAATAAATGAATGATTTTAAAAAATAATTGAAAAAAAAAAAAGAAATTAAAGGAAAGAAATTATGATGAAACGCAAATAAGGGAAAAAAAAGAAAAAAAGAAAACATCTTTAACAAACAAAAAAATAACTAACAAAAATTATTATTATTATATACAAACCAACAAAAATATAGATAGATAGATAGGAAAAGAAAAGAACGAACGAACGTACGTACATTTTTATGTTTCGCGCCACATGTCAGCTCCACGGCTACATCAAAAATCTAATATAGACGAGAAATTTTTTCAAACAGCAATTTAAATTCTTATCTAATTACTGGATCGTGTTCAAATTTATATATACATGTATACATATATGTATACATATACATATATTTGTATACATGTATATGTATATATATATGTAAGCATGTATATATAAATAAATCTTTTTTTTTTTTGTTCTAAGTTATATCATCCATTTACCAATTGCTTTGCTTTTTTTTTTTTTAATTTTCCCGCAATTTAAAAGTTGCCTTCTCTAATTTTAGTGTGACGTAGTTAAACCTAATGATTTTATTAAATAAAGAATTTTAAAAAGAAATAAAAAAGCAAAAAAATAATAATAATAATAAAGAAGAAGAAGAAACAATGTTATAAAATGGTTCCTTTTTTTTCGGGCTAGGAGCTTGATTTAAAGTGTCAAAGATTTTTGTGTATGACCAGATGTATTCTACATGTCTCAATAAACAGTTGTATGTGAATTACCTTTCATAATTACTGTTATCAATTTATTTTCCTCAACAATCTATCTTCCTATAATTAATTAATTAAAAAAAGAAACAAAAAACAAACATGAAATAAAATCTATATAAACCATCATTATCACCACTTAACCTGTCTAATCAACTGCAATTGTTTACAATTGGCACTTTCTCCATATGAAAGGATTTGCCAGAAGTGTTGGCGAATTGGGTAGGACATGGTGTAAAGAGGAATGGAGGTTTGTGGGTAGGATCTTAAATTAGAACATGAACTCTCCCGATTTTTTAGGAGGTAGGAGAGAATCAAGGCTCGCGTGGGCAGGGTCGCATCCCTGAAGTAGACCAGTTTTCGCCAGGATTGCGAAACACTGTCTACCCGCTACCCTCTATTATTAACATATTTATATTACACACAAAACTATAAATAAAAATTCTTTGTGTATAATATCTCGAATACATTTTTATTAAGAGATATTTCAAAGGAGTTTTAAACAATTTGTATTTTTTCAAGCATGAACAACAACAACAACAACATCGTCTTCATCGTCGCACGGTTCTGTTGTTTAATTAGAAAAAAAGAAAAAGAATATAAAGATAAAAAAAATAATAATTGTAAAAGAAAATAAAAATAAAAAGACGACAAATTTGTCACGTTCGAGTAATTTTGCCGCGAAAAAACACATCCCCCACTGGGTATACGAATCATCCCCTACTACCTTTAAAGGCTACCAATAAGAAGACAGCATTGGACACCCTGCAGCCCCCTTGTGACGACCTCTGTCGGTAGGGAAAGAGGGTGTGTTAGGTTAAACGGAGAGACGACGATTGTCATCGCGTCGTTCTTCGTGCCGATTTTAACGAGCCGACGAGTTAGAGGATACTTGCACCTCTCTGCGGGTGCTTCTTCGCGTGTATTTGCCAGTGATGCTTCCGCGTTCTTTCAATCACCTTGACGCCCTTATTTTCTACAACGTTAATATCCAAGAACAAGAAAAGAAACGGAAACAGTGCACGGTAAAAATGGAATTAATTATAAATATCCTATAGTAATATAATATATAATTTCGTCCTATTAAATTCGAATGATATATTTTGTTTTGTCTATTTCTTTTTATATTTATATTTTACGCCAAGACAATGATGGATAATGTTAATTATCGAACAATATATTTATCCCAAAATATTCATTAATTATTTTCCCTCTCTAAAACCAATAATATAATAATAATAATAATTGCAATATGAAGAAGGAAGATTAAAAAGAAAAGGGAAGGAAGGGGGTGGTTTTTCCATTATAATGTCCTTGTCTCTGGCGTAAATATTGAATTTTTTTGTTATCCTTTCTTTTTAGTTTTCCCCAAATATAAATGAGTCTTGAAGAAGAAGAAAAAGAAGAAGAAATTAAACGTTTTAATTTGTAATACATAGGATATATATATGTATAGAAATGTTATATTGAAAGAGAGGGGAAGTGCGTGCGTCGTGCGTGGTTTGTCTCGTGTGTGCATACGTGATACCAATGAAGCAGAAACGGGATCATCCCTCGTTTTAATACACGGTAATAATATTTTGTTGTTTCTTTTGGAAAAAAATATTCTACAACAAATAGCATCCCTTTTCTCGTTTAGATTTTGACTTCATTCGATATGCACGGTCGGGTTTATATGCTGCAGAGGGGTGGTGACCCGAACTGTAACGGGTGGAACCATGATACTGCACACACACATATACTTTTATAACCTACATCTATGGGACATTGGTAGTGTCCTAAATATACATACGTGTGGTTGCTTTTTAAAACAAAAAATGTATACATTTATATATTTTCTTTTTAATTTTCTTTTTTTCTTTTTTTAATGAACTAAATTAAATAATTCTTGTTTCAATTATTATTTCTCTAAAGGAACGAAGAGAAAATAATAATAATAATAATGATAATCATTGGAGGTATTTTTATATTGACCTTATTATCATCTTTTGTCAAGCGCATGGGCGCGGTTTTAATTTATTATTATTATTATTATTATTATTATTTGGTTCCTTTTTTTTTCTTTTATTTATTTGTCTTCCTCATTGAAAATTGGATCCACGTTTTTATTACTCTTTCAAGTAGTTGTATTTATTGGACGACGGGTGGGAAAAAAAAACAAGAAAAAGGATAGAGGGGAAAATGACGTTCGATCGTTCCACCCTTCAGGATATGAAAAAGAATGTGTCTTGTTCAAGGGCGTGGCAAATTCTTTATGCTGATCGGTGGTAGATCAGTTTCATTCTAATATGATACCTCTTTAATGATCGTTCTAATGTAGGTCAGTAATAATACAAAAACATGACCTTGTTTTATTTTTTATTTATTTTCTTCTTTATCTTTTTAAATTACTTTTTATCTTTCCTTCGTCTATTTTCGATGGCAAAATCGAATAACTTTTAAAATTTTGTTCTATTTTAAACGTTTCGAACATTAATATTATTTAGTTGAATCATCGAAATTTTTCTATCAAATTTATCGAATATTGCTGTTTATACGAGTGTTCTAATATTAATAACTTTTTTTATTAATATTTACGGTTTGTTCAGAACATACTTTACTGTATCGTTGTGTAAATATTGTAGAAATTCGTTTGAAATTCAGCGGCATCTTGACCCCGTACGCACGTACGTGACACAAATACGAATACTTCGTGAAAACTTCAAGACTCGTAATGCACATGTAGTTTTCTGTTTTCCTAAATTCATAATTAGGGTTGTCGAAATACTAGTCCTCCTTCCTCTGCCTCGTATAAAATATTTTCCTTTATATTTATAATAATTAAAAAAAATAAAAGATTAAATAATAATGAAAAAATATAAACGTCGTGATCTTCAATCACTGTCAAGCGTGATAAGAGATGAAAATTTTTCTGAATAGTTAATTCGACAGTTCTGATCACTCAAGTCATTTATTATTTTTTTAATATTTTTTTTATCTTTCAATATTTTTGTATAAAATATTGATCATACTTTACAGATGATATTTTGGATCAGTTTTCCTTGCTCTTCCTATGTGTGGAATAGACACTGACGATATGGTAATTATTATTATTAAACATTTTAATCGATTATTGATATTTTATATTAAATTTATATATTATTTACTTTCTATTTAAAAAAAAGAAAAAAATATAATAATAAAAAAAATAGAAAACAAAAGAAAAATGTAATTATTATCGCAGGATGCAGTATGGCTTCAGTACTTTGGCATGTCTCTGGGAATAGTTATGCTTCTCCTGCCTTTTTCTTGTTCTTACTGTTACTCTGTCCACACAATACTACAGGTCAGTATTATTATTATTATCTAATATTTATATATATATGTATATTTAATTTCAGTATTAAAAATTGAATAATAGTAATATTTTATTTAAGGATAAAACCATGTTTTAAAACAAATGCTCAACACTACTTACTACTAAGATTTTAAACAAGGAATTTTAATCTATTTTGTAATTTTGTATTAATATGGTATGGTGTGTTCCCGGTGGCGGTGGATATTGTTGGGGTTCTTTGAATCATCATCATTCCTGAATTCAGCCCGCGAGGTAATTGAGGCTCCACTGCCACAGCAAGACCACATTCCATCACTGCCACCACCACCGGGACGTCTCACCACTGCCAAAGCACCAAGTATGTTATTTATCTTGGTTTGATATAATAAATCATCATACTTTTTTAAATATCACCATACCACACAAATATATGTCGAAATGATGATAATTTAGTAATACGATGAATCCATCCACGGTAATGTGTAACACGTATAAGACTTTTAAATCTATAATATATTTTATATTCATGCGGATTATCCTTTATAAACGAATATATTAAAATTATGATTATGAACCGATTATAATATCTTTAACATTTTACTGTAATTTATTATTTTTTAGAGTGTGATCAAAAATTTATAAGCACTCCTGATGGGCCGCAAAATGGAACTTTCTTTGCACCTGCACTGATAAATCTAGAAGGAGAATCTCGGCAGTGCGTTTACACATTTTTAGCAGGACCACGTCAACGCGTGGAACTTATTTTTACTACGTTTGGTCTTAGAGGTACACCGCCAGCGTAAGTAATAATAACAAATGATAATACTGGATATATAATGCAATGTTTTTTAAATCTGCTTTCTAAAATCTATCTTTTGCTATGTACAGTGGATCTGCTGTTGGAGAATTACCTGCGTAAGTTGGAAAAATCGTTTATTCATATATTAAATCTTTATAAATAATTAGAGAATATATTTTTTAACTACTTTTCTTGATATACAAAATTTTGTAACATTTATTTTTTGTTGCTTTCAGTTGTAGCCATGAATATATAGATATATATTCGGAAATTCGTTCAGAAAACACTACCAAGCTAATAGAAACACCATTCGGAGGTCGTTTTTGTGGTCCCATTCCACCTCGAAAACGTGTTTCTCTTTATCAAGGCATTGCCCTCAGTTTCTATACTGATAAAAATATAACATTACCAACATTATTTAGCGGAGAATATACTTTTATTAATGCATGTAAGTCGTTTCAAAAACTGACTCATATAAAACTTAATGCAAAGCTTTTTTTTTATTGACAATATAATTAAAAATCATTAATGTTAAATTTCTATAGCTGAGTTTGAAGTTGGAACACCAGTACCGAGTGCACCGTGTTCTTTCACGGTAAAATCTCTCGTTAAACGTACTGGAAATATTTTGTCTCCCACTTATCCAGGAACTTATCCAAAAGATCTTGTGTGCAGTTATCAATTTATTGGAGAATCGAGTCAAAGAATACGCCTGGAATTTCGAGATTTTGATTTATTTTTTGGCGGGCCACAGTATGTTTAATTTGATCTTATAATATTTTTTTTTTTTTTAAATAATTTATAGAAATAATGAGAAATGCAACGATGTTATATTTCAGTTGCCCTTTGGATTATGTAAAAGTATACGATGGAGTTGACAATTCATCCGCTGTTATTGGAACGTATTGTGGGCAACAACGAAATTTGGTATTATATTCATCTGAATCCAGCCTATTTGTATTGTTTTCTACTCTTCAACGTACAGCGAATACGCAAAATCGTGGTTTTAAAGGAATTTTCGAATTTTCAGAAAGTTTTGTTAAATTAGGTAATATTGAAATATATATGTGTATATATATTGTTTTATTGTTCTTATAAAAAAGATACAATTTAAAAAAGATGAGATTTAGGATTTGTATTATTTTATATGTTTAGACTTCATAACCAGTTATAATGGGGAGCATATAAGAGGCTCGGAATGCGATCAAAAGATTTTAAGTAAAAAGAAGTCTTCTGGATTTGTAGTTAGTCCCAATTTTCCATTTCCTTATATGCCAAAAGTAGTATGTCGTTATTTTGTTTATGGAATGCAAGATTCGCAACATCTTGAACGCGTTCGTTTGGAATTTATGGTATTTGAAATTCCAACGAGCGGTACTAAAGTAGAGTAGGTATAATTACTATAAATGTATTTTCAATGATATATGTAATTTATAAATGGTATTTATAATCATAATCTTGTTATTTACAGGTCAGCATGCACCGATGGTTATTTAAAATTATATTTAAAAGGTCAAGAAGCGACAGATTCTTATGATAAATTTGATTATGAATTATGCGGTGCAAAAAGTAATCCAACTCATGTAGTTAGTGATGGGCCGAGACTTGTTATGGTATTTAGCAGCGGAGAATTACTAGGAAAAGGTTTTAAAGCACGGTAAATATTAAAGTATATCTAATTTTAAAAGAGATATTTCTGTTATAGATGATTGTGTAAATCAATGTTTTTTTTTGTTTAATTTATTATAGGTATACCTTTGAGACAGAATATAAAATACCTGGAACAGCCGAACCAGATGGTACCTGTACATTTACATACAGAAGTTCCTCTCGAAAAAAGGGAGATTTTAATTCTCCCCGATATCCTAGTAATTATCCAAGTGATACAAATTGTACTTATCTCTTTTTTTCAACGCCAAATGAACAAGTGACATTGATCTTTGACCATTTTAAAGTTAGAACCAGAACTCTGAATATAACGTCCGGTCACTATGGGTGAGATAGATAAAAAAAAAATAATCAATCTATCTTTAAATATTGGAATTGATAGATTAAAATAAAGATTATCTTTTCAACTTCATTATTTTTACAGGCACTATTTATGTCAAGACGACTGGTTAGAAATTTATATTATGTATCGCGATCAAACTGAAAAATTAATAGGCAGGTATTGTGGTATGACTGCCCCAGGACCAGTAGAATCGACGCTTGGTGCTCTCGGTTTAAAAGTAATTTTACATTCAGATTCTGAACTTGTTTATAGTGGATTTAAAGCGCGTTATACTTTTGAGGTAGCAAAACCAATTTTTGGAGGTAAGATATTTCAAGATATTTATATTCTTTAATGATTTCGTTTCATATCACGATATTACAGATTGCGGATCAAATATTAGCAGTCTAAATTATGGAGTAATAACTAGTCCTAACTTTCCAAATAAATACGATGGTCCGTCAAAAAATTTTGCTAGTAAAACATGTAATTGGTTTATAAGAGTACGACCTAATCAACAAATATTATTGGATTTTGATACATTTTCTGTAGAAGGTGATCAAAGTGGTAAGTAATTGTTTTGTATATCTTGTAATTGATTGAAATATACTAATTATTATTTTTTTATTTTTCTTAAATATTTTTTCAGCACGAGGTTGTCCTGCTGCGGTATTACGTATGTGGTATTCTAGTTCGTCCACGCCGCTTGAGCTTTGTGGTGTTAAAACTACTGATACTAAGTGGACCTATTTATCGGAAGATAATAATATGCGTCTTAGGTAGATATTTATTTGTTTTATATTTTTTTAAATAAATAATTTTATGTTATAACGATATTTTAAATAAATATTGCATATAATATTTGCAGTTTCATATCAGCAGATAAAGCGGTCGGACAACACGGTTTTAGAGCAGTATGGACAGAGATAAATAAAAATACTGATTGTCAAAATCAATTTCTTTGCACCAGAAATAAATATTGTATTGCAGAATCGTTAAAATGTAATGATATCAAAAATTGTGGTCCAGACGATTCGTCCGATGAAGAGAACTGTAAGTTTTGAAAATAATAGACATTTTCGAAATAGTCTTTTAATGTACACTTTTTGATGTTGCCTCTTTTGCTTATACGATTTCTATCTTCGCGTGAATTATTCATATATAGTAGCATAGTACAATTGTGGTTATTAATGATCTTACATCCAAATTTATGTATGTATTCTTGTTATACATTTAATATAATGTATAAATAGCTCACAAATATATCATTAAAAAATAATTAAAGAATGTGCATATATATTTTGATGTGAAGTCTGTTAATGACTACACTTGTACAAGTCTCTCTCTCTCTCTCTCTCTCTCTCTCTCTCTCTCTCTCTCTCTCTCTCTCTCTCT